AGAATGCTGTATATGTAATAAATAAATAAATAAATCTTTAAAAAGAAAAAGTCACCCAGTGGTAGTTGTCACTGAGATGAGAATCAGACCAAACTAGCCACCTGCCTACCTGCCTAGCCCTCGAAGGCTGGCATAGCCAGGCACCTGACACCGAGAGACTGAGTTTTTGTGCCCGTTGGTGGAAGACACAGTGAAATGGAAATGGGCCCGGGATGGGCACAGTTCAGACTGAGCCCATTCCTGAGGCTCCATAGTGCCCTCTTCCCCCAGGCAAGTCATCCAGGACCCTCGGAGCCTCTTCCCTACCTCTGGCAGCCCCTCCCGGACTGGAGATCATAGAAGCCAGGGCTGCAGAGGCTGCAGTCCCTCCCGGTGACATGAGGCAGGCAGGCACACTGGCCGGTCACTGGGTTGCAGGGTGTCTTCTCACTGGCTGAGCCCCTCAGGTCACAACTGCAGGCTGGGTTTCAGGAAAGGGTGTTGGAACCATTTGCTTAAACTTTAGGGGGACAGGCAGAAGCTGAGAAGCCCAGGGACCCCCAGAGATAACTGTCACACGGGCCAGGTTCCCAAGACCATCCTGGAAAAGGCTTGAGGGTCAAGCTCAGGTCTCAGCCCATTTGCTATGTTCTTGGTGAGCCAGCCCAGACGAGTGGGGATGTAGATGACCCCTTCCCGAGTCTGCCTCAAGCCCGCAGGCTGGAGAGAGGGTCAGAGGTATGGTCAGTGACCACAGGCAGAGCCCGGCAGCCCCAGTGTGGACCCACACACTCCTGCTCTTCCGGGAATCATAGTGCAGTATCCTTCTCAATGCTAGAGTGGGGTTTCCTGGGGGGGCGGGGCTCCACACAGGTGTGGGTGCTGCCGTGTGGAAGGGGCTCTGAGGACATCGGGTGGGGTGCAAGCTGGGTTGCTCTGATGCACGACTTCCAGGAGCCCGATTCAGGCAGACGCAGGCTGCGGGCTTTCAACACGCGTGAGGCCGAGTACAACCCCGGCAGGGAGAGGGGACACATGAGGGAGAGTCGTGGCCTTGCTATCCTTGCATCAGCCTCATGTGCTAAGGGTGGAGATGTGAAAGGTGCTGAGTTATCAGTGCAGGGTGAAACTGTGGGATCAGAGCTATAAGATGTCAGGACTGAAGGGGCCTCGGGGAAGAAAGAACCAATTCTGATGCGTTTTAGAGAACAGAGAAGGCAAGAGACTGGCCCAGCAGAGGGCCAGCTGGTATGGTGGCTCACTCAGTCATCCTGTGTGGACCCTGAGTGAGGGATGAAGACAGTGGTTCCCATGCCTTACTCCTGGGCCTGGGGATTGCGTACTCACGAGCACATTTGTCCTCGGGCCTGGGGGCCAAGGCACTCCCATAGAAGCCATCCAGACAATGCTCACAGTGCACCCCTGTGGTGTTGTACAGGCAGCGCAAACAGTGGCCGGAATGGGGATCACAGTTGCCCACAGCGTTGAGATCCACGTTCCCGTTGCACCGGCACCGGCGGCAGGGCTGAGGGGCTCCAGAGACTCCTAGAGGATCCCCAAAAAACCCATCTTCGCAGCTCTCGCAGCGCCGGCCTGTGTATGGAGGGGCAGGTTTGGAGCTCTGGCTCACAGGGTGCTGCTGGGAAGCTGAGCTCAAGCTGGCCTGCAGCCAGGTCCTAGCACCAACCCCCAGATAGTGTGGCCCCGGGGAAGCCGAGGTGCCTCCCTGATTCAACCCATGGTGCGCCTTGCCTCTGTAGTTAGGACAGCTCTGAGATGTCCCCAAAGCACTGCTAAGAGGCCTCGACCTGGTTGTTTGTTCGAAGCACTCAATGCTAAGTGCTCAGCTGTAGCCGGTGCCCATGCGCTCACCTCCATCCTGCCCACCTCCACCAGCATCTTCCTCAGCATCACCAGGAGTTTGGTCAGGCTCAGCCCTGGTGGCCAGACAAGTTGCAGGCTACTCCAGGAGGCTGGCAGAAGTCCCTGATCCACGAGCCACCCAAACCTGCTGGTGTGGCTCCCTCCGATGCTCTCCCTCAGGAGTGCCCCACCCACCATGCAAGCATCTCTCACTGCACTCCCACGGACTGGGCTTCACTCACAGCTCAAAGCACAGGGAACCACAGCGGGGTCAGAAAATGGGGAAAGGTTAGCAGTGGAGAGAAAGTGTGATGCCAGTGGGGTACAGAGCCAACTGTGGGACACACGCACTCACACACACACTCACACACATGCACACTCACTCACACTTACAAACTCACTCACACTCACTCACACTCACTCTTACACACTCAAACATACACTCACACACTCACTCACACTTACAAACTCACTCACACACTCTTACACACTCAAACACACACTCACACACTCACTCACACTCTCACACACTCACACTCACACATACACTCACACACTCGCTCACACTCTTACACACTCACTCACACACTCACACTCTCACACACTCACACAGTCACTCTCACACTCACTCTCACACACTCACTCTCAAACATACACTCACTCACACTCTTACACACTCACACTCACACAGTCACTCTCACACACTCACTCTCAAACATACACTCACTCACACTCTTACACACTCACACTCACACACTCACACATACACTCACACTCTTACACACTCACACAGTCACTCTCACACACTCATACTCAAACATACACTCACTTTTACTCACACACTCACGCACACTCACTCACACTCACAAACTCACTCACACTCACTCACTCACACTCTCACACACTCACACAGTCACTCTCACACACTCTCACACATATACTCACTCACACTCACACACTCACACTCACAGTCACTCACACTCACTCACTCACACACTCACTCACACTCACTCACTCACACACTCACTCACTCACACTCACACTCAAACACTCACACTCACACACTCAAACATACACTCACTCACACTCACACACTCTCACATACACTCACACACACACTCTCACATACACTCACACACACTCACACACTCACACTCACACACTCAAACATACACTCACTCACACTCACATACTTTCACATACACTCACTCACACACTCACTCACACACTCACACTCACACACTCACACACTCACACTCACACACTCAAACACTCACTCACACTCACTCTCACATACACTCACTCACACACACACACACACACACACACACACACACACACACCAGGCCCTGTGTTCCCTGGGACTATCTGAGGATCAGAAGCTGCTTTCAGAAGAGTCCCCAAGAGCAGGACACTCCACAAGACCATTCAGTGCAGACACTAATCCACACGAAGCCAGATGCTAAATGGCTCAGGACAACACGCTTCTACTTAGACAAGACCCCAAAGAGTCAAATTCAGAGACATAGTCAAATAGTGGAGGGGGAGGGGACAGAGGACATTAAACAACAGTCCAGTGGGCACAGAGCTCACCGGGGGGCATGGCGGCAGGGAACAGCGTACAATGCCAGGGCCCCTTAGGCCAATGAATCACATGCTTAAAACGATGGCCAAGGAAGACAGTTTTATGATATAGGTTTTATTATGATAAAAAATTAATGATGTACTATACCAATAGCCATTTAATTGTCCACTTTAAGTGGGTGACTTTGTGGGGCATGTAGACATCTCAGACGCTGTTAAATGCTCCTCTGAGGATAGCAGGAGTCCTGCAGCAGGGGGCGGGAGTGAAGGAGAATGGGACCTGGGAGTGGGAAGGCTCCGCTTCCCTTATGTTACCTCATAGACATTCCTAAAACTTAAATCGGAAAAGCCGTGTGTGTGTGTGTGTGTGTGTGTGTGTGTGTGTACATGCCTGCATGTATGTGTGTATATACACATGCCTCTGTGTGTGTATACATGCCTGCATGTGTGTAAATACACATGCCACTGTGTGTGTGTCTGTGTGTACATGCCTGCATGTATATATGTATATACACATGCCTCTGTGTGTGTACATGCCTGCATGTACGTGTGTATATACACATGTCTCTGTGTGTGTGTACATGCCTGCATGAATGTGTGTATATACACATGCTTCTGTGTGTGTGTACATGCCTACATTATGTGTGTATATACACATGCCTGTGTGTGTGTACATGCCTGCATGTATGTGTGTATATACACATGGCACTGTGTGTGTATGTGTGTACATGCCTGCATGTACGTGTGTATATACACATGTCTCTGTGTGTGTGTACATGCCTGCATGAATGTGTGTATATACACATGCTTCTGTGTGTGTGTACATGCCTACATTATGTGTGTATATACACATGCCTGTGTGTGTGTACATGCCTGCATGTATGTGTGTATATACACATGCCTCTGTGTGTGTGTGTTTATACATATGCATATGTGCATGAAGGTCAAAGGTCGATGTTGGGGGTCATCGTCAATCAATTTCTTCCTTATTTTTTGAGGCGGGGTCTCTCATTTAACCACACTGTTTCTGCTGGACTGTCCCTGCCTTCCCAGTGCTCAGAGTACGGACGTGTGAGACAGCACTTGGCCTTCTTCTTCATGGGATCTGAGTCTCAGACTCGGGTCACCCGACTTATTCAGCAAGTATTTTACAAGCTGAGCCTTCTTTTGAAACACGAAAAGTCTGGCTTGAGGTTTTCCACCTTTGCAGTGAAGATCCCGGGTCCCCCGGCTTCATCCCAAACCATGAGTCATGCTCTCGGGGCCCGCATGTGGGCCTTTCAAGGTTCAGTTGTATATGGCCAAAGCCTAGGGAGGGCTGTAGCAACTCAGCATTCTGGGACCTGGACAAGGAGACTTTGTCCCCAGAAGCCATGCTTGCTACATCTAGGGCCAGGCTCTTTCCTGCCCGTCACACGCAAACCCACTAGAGTCAGGGCAGGACGGGGCATCAGGGCTGGTCCTCCTGGGGGATAGAGCACAGGCCACTCACCTCTCTGACCAGGGGGGCAGTGTGTGCACACCACCTCTCCAGTCTCTGGGATGGCTGTACAGGCTGATTGGCCAGGGCATGGACAGGGCTGGCAGTCATCGGCGTTGCCTGAGAAGGCATTGCCGTAGAAACCTGGCATGCAGCGTTCACAGGATGGCCCCTCGGTGTGGTGGCCACACAGGCAGACTCCTAAGGAGCAAGGCAAATAACCTGTTCACCACCTCAGCCCAGCGCTCCCCAGACCAGCGGCTGTCAACCTTCCTCATGCTGCGACCCTTTAATACAGTTCCTCATCGTGTGGTGACCTCAGCCATAACATTATTTTTGTTGCTATTTCATAATTGTAACTCTGCTACTGTTATGAATCCTAATATAATTTTTTTTGAGATAGAGGTTTGCCAAAGGGGTCGCCCTAGACAGTGAGTATCCTGGTGAAGGAGCCGTGGGGCACGCCCTCTTAGACCAGGGAGAGCCTGAGATGGAGGCCGAATGTTCTGGGGATGAAGCATCCAGGTGAGCCAGGCTGCCTGGGTTCACGGCCTCTGCTTAAGGCCTGTGTGATCTGGGAAAACCATCAAACCCGCCCCGTGGAGGGCAGGCAGTGCAGCTCTGCCACCTATTGGCCACGTGGCCACCCTGCACCTCAAGTCCCTGTCTTGGAGGATGGGAAGGTAGTGTGGGCCACACCAGCAGGTATGCCTGCCCCAGTCAAGCGGAGTGCCAGAGACAGGGAGGGAGCTCGTGCATTGTTTCACTATTGTCTGTATGTCTGACCGATGGAAGGCACGGCAACTCTGGTTCCTTTCCGTGCTCCTGAGTCCTCTTCATCTTGAGGGACCCACCAAACAGAGGCCCTGGCCCTGGCTTTCAGCCTTGCGGGGCTCACCCTGTGCGGGGACCATGAGTGCATGCAGGTCATCAGTAAGGCAGCTCTGTTCTGCCTGCTGGTCCCTGAAGGTGGGACATCACAGGCCCTCGTCTCCAGTGCAGCAGCTCCTGGTGTCTGCTCAGGGACGCTTAGAGGGGACAACTAGCCACAGGGACAGGAAGAAAGTCAAGATCACCCCCCTACAGGAGGCAACCAGCAGCGTCCAGCCGGGGTTGTAAGGAGAATAAAGGGGGCTTCATTCCCTGGATAAGCAGACCAGGGGAGGGCTCCTGCTCCAGCCCCACACCCCGAGGCTTGCCCCTCGGACCGTTTTACAAATGAAGGCTTGCGGGTATGAGTGGAAAGCTATGGCCAAGTCAAGGGTTCTGTGGGGGTGAAAATCAGCTCCATCTTATCAGAAGATTCTGTTTCCTCAATAGGAGCTGCAGGGAGCATTATGTGGGAAAGGATTGTGAGGCCTCATCTAGGCTCAATTGGTCATGTCTGCCAGGCACAGGACAGTTAGACGACCCTCCGTGTATCAGGAGTGACAGAGACCCCATCTGTTCCGTGGAGACTGCAGGGTGAAAGGTCTGTGGTAGGGAGGTGGAGAAGCTGTGTCTGTCCCCTAGCACCTTCTGGTCACATGACCCCCGGGGAGGCTTCTGCTCCTCTACAGAGATAGCTCTATCGAATGCCACCCGACCCCAGACTGCTGGGAGGTGTGGCCCTGCCACTGTCTGGCCCTGAGGTCCCCGCACCCTAGGTCCCTGTCTTGGAGAACTGGAGAGTAACGGAGAACACGTCACTCTGATGTCTGTGGGAGTCGAAGATGGAGAGCCAGCAACACCAGGGAGAGGGAGGAAGGGGTGGCACTATTCCACGGTGTCCTGTGTCTGCCCCTCCCAGGAAAAGACCCCTCAGCTCACCTGCTCAACTCTCCCTGAGCTTTGGCGCAAAGCAGGACTGTTATTTGAAGTCTGGACAATTCCTGACATTCATGTGGCCTTTTCTCCATGGCCTGGGCTGTGTGCACTCTGTCACTGTCTGGACTGTACAGATGGGGTGCCCAGGGAGTGACTTTCCCAAGGCCACAGCCATGGAGTGGCGAAGACAGTAGGCTTGTGGATTTTGGTTGACACCCATGACGCTGCTGGCACCTGCATGACCCTCCCGATGTCATCCCTCTGTCACTGTCTGTGCTGATAAACCCTTCCTCACAGCACCCATCCAGTAGTAAAAGCCCTGAGGAGTCCCTCCCAGGCCTGCCCACTGACAGACGCCTGCAGGGAGGCTGGCTGCAGGCCTTCTCAGATGCTCACAATCCCAGGCACCCAGGTAGCATGGCAAGACCGGTGCCTGTGTCCCCAAGAGCCACCAGTGAGGGCCAGGCTTACTCTCGCCGTGCTCAAGCGGCCGAGGTAGCCTTGGCGTGGGGTTCTGGGAACTCACCTGTGTTGGGATCACAGGTGCCATGGTGGTTACAGGTGCAGGGGATGCAGTTGGTGAAGGGACCCCCACTCGGTACCTCTCTTTTGTATCCCAGAGCACAGAATTCACAGAACTGGCCTGTGTGTCCCGGGGGACACAAGCAGCTCTCTACCCAAGAGGCTGGCGGGGCGAGCCCTCTCTGGGGCTGGGCTGATGTAAGCCGGACTTCACACAGGAACACTTGGCCTGCAGAGTGAGGAGAGAAGGGGAGGCCTCCGTGCGTGTCTACCCAACGCTCCCTGAGCAGCCCTGAGACAGGCCCGTGCATACAGAGGCAGCTTGTGAGGCAGCTGTCATTTTGTTTGTTTTTTGAGACGCAGTCTTGCTGTGTAGCCTGTGTGGTCTTCAGACTGCTATCCTGTTGCCTTATCCTCTCAGGTGCTGGGGTTACAGGCACGAGCCACTATGCCAGGTTTTGAGTGTAATTTTGAAAACAACAGTCAAAAAATCAAGACCTAAGGAAACAGATGATTTTTAGACCAAGAGATGGGTAAGGGCTGGTGGGGGTACCTCGGTGCTGGAATGTGCACTTAGTGTTGCACGATCTTGATTTTAACCTGGGTGGATGGGTGGGTGGGACAGAGAGAGAAGACTGTAAAATGTCCATGCTTGGGGCCAGCAAGATGACTCAACGGGTTAAGAGCCCTCAGGAGTTCAATTCTCGGGACCCCACAAATTGTCCTCTGACCTCCACACACGAGGCACACACATAAATGTGTGTCCATAAATATACATATATACAAGTAGATAAATATCATTAAGTTTTAAAACTTTTGCTGGGCATAGTGGCACATGAGTTTAATCCTCTTGAAGTTTCAAAGCCATCCTGAGCTGCATAGCAAGTTCCAGACCAGACAGGGCTACATACTGAGACTCCTGCAACCCCAGCACTTGGGAGTCAGGGGTAGGAAGATGAAGAGTTCAAGACCAGGGAGACCCTGTCTTAAAAGCAGTTGGGTGAGCTTAGTATCCGTATGAGCCTATGGTGTGGCAGAAATGCAGTGCCATTGTTGCCCGGCAGAGGGGGGGGCAGTGCTATGGGGGGATGTGGAGGTGCTGGATTCTGTCAAGGACCATGTACTTGACCCTAGAGTTGTCCTCCCCCAGGACTCCCCGTCCCCACAGTCCAGCCCCTGCCTCTGTCGTCACAAACACTCTTGCTGCCTTGTGTCCTGTTTCTCAATCTCAGAGTCCATGCCATGAGAACTCCACAAGCAACGCAGGGCCAGGGCCCATGTCCTTAGGGGTGTATCCTCATCATACTCACCAGAGTGGTCCGGGCCGAGGCCCCTGGTCCAGATGCCCAGGGCAGTCAGGTTGGCAAGCAGCCGCTGGAAGTGGAAGGCAGGCAGTGGGGCATCTGCCTCCTCAGAGGTCTCCTGTAGGCTGGAAGGGACAGGAAGTCAGTGGGACAGCTTCCCAGAAACCAGCCTGCCTCCCCAGTCCACTCCCATCTCTCAGGATGGGGAGGCCACTTACAGGAACCAGAGCTGAACCTGTCCTGGCTGCTTGGTGTCCTGAAGACTGGGAGGACTGGAGGGCCTTAGGGACAGAGCCAAGCCTGCCCCCTCCAGCCTCAGGTACAGAGGAGGTGGGGAGCCCCCAGGCGGCACCTGGAGGGTCAGCATGACTGGCTGTCCGTAGCTGAGTCTCTGATCGCCCAGGAACTTCTCTAAAGGTAAGAGGAAAAGGCTTGATAGCGCCACATACTTAACGTGGCTCTAACATCCATCTGTATGGACTGTGTCAACAGCCATCCAAACAAGTGTGCCTGTGGCGGGCAGAAAATCCAAGGCCAGGGCTAGAGACGGCGCAGTGGTTAAAGTGCTTGACGCAAAAGTGAGGAGACCGGAGTTCGGATTCCCAGAACCTATGTAAATGCCGCTGCAGCATGGTGGCCCACTGCAACCCCAGCCTTAGGAAGTGCAGAGAGGAGATCTCTAGAGCAAAATTGGCTGGTGTGAGACTAGACATATCAGCTTGCCCTGGGCTTGATTGAGACACCTGCCTCAGTGAACAAGGTAGGAGAGGGATGGAGGATGATTCCTAACACCAACCTCTGGCACAGCTGTGCCCACTCACACACAAGCACGTATCTCACTCACACACACACACACAGATGCACAGACACACACACACCACATACACACACATACACTACATACACACACTCACACACACACACAGATGCACAGACACACACACAGACACACATACACCACATACACACACATACACTACATACACACACTCACACACACACACAGATGCACAGACACACACACAGACACACATACACTACATTCACACACATACACCACACACACACACACACACACACACACACACACACACACACACGGTATTTTGGTGATTTCACACATGCTGTGGTCTAATTGAAGAATCATATTATCCAAGGGTGTCCCCAACCCTAAACCCTGAGAGATGGGTCTGTGCAGAGGGGTTTGGCCAGGCAGAAAGGATTAAGGCTGCAGATGGAGTTGGAGTGTTAGTCCACTGGCCACGGAATTAGGGAGGCCTGCCGGATTATCCAGCATGTCAGTTGTAAGAACGTAAGAACGACAGCTGCTCTGAAGATGGGGAGGACATGACTCTGAAGACGTGAGTGCCGCGAGGGAGACACGGTCTCTGCTCTGTTGACAGGAAGGAGCTGAGCTAAGGTTAGCCTGTCTTTTGGAGCTCATCCACTCTAAGGTACTGTAGTAGCAGCTGGCAGGGACCTGGGTGGTGTGATCACAGGAACTGTCACCCACCTGGTGCTGAGAGTCCCTCCCCTCCTTGCCGGCCCAGGAGGATCCCATTCCGGTTCCATTGCAGAGGATGCTCTGGTGTCCCCACGCTTCTGGCCTGCCAGCCATCAGCTCCTAAACATCAAAGACAGACTATCCATCCCAGCCGTGAGAGCCCGAAGGGTGGCCTCCAGTGACAAGTCCAGCAGGGCTCTGTGTGGCTGGGACTTGGAGGTCAGGCTGAGACCCTGTCTCAGAGAGGAACGGTGGGGACAGGCCACGCTCTGAAGACTAGGCCAGGCCTGAGGTAGGACCATGATTCCAATCCCGGCAGAGTTTTTTACATGCTCAGAAAGGACTCTGCCAACTTAGCTACATCCCAAGCTTTCTCCATGTTACCTCAGGGTTCAGAAAACAAGCCCTGGCTATGCTAGATTTTGGCCAGCCACTGCCATGTGCTGTCCTGCTTTCTGAGTGGCGTCCAGCAGAGGGCGCACTGCCTCTGCATCTGGACCAGTCCCCAGCCTCTTTACTCTCAGGTGTGGGGAAATGTTCCGAGGAGTATGGCTGGGCACACCGGCTCTGATGGATCGCAGAGCTTGGAGTTCCACAGTCATGGCTGCCAGACCAATCTCAGACAGGCCTGTACGGAGTTTGTAAAATGGGAATGAGAAACCCGCCTCCAGCCAGGCTGAGATTCCCTGGAATGTGGAGCTCAGCAGTGCCTGGCATACAGGTGCTTAATACATGGAGGCCGAGACTGTAAGCTGGAACTCAGATATGCTAAGGGAGACTAACTTTCCTGGGGGTGAGTGGAGGCTGCCCGCAGGACTTGGTGCCTGCGGTCTTACGAAGCCTTCCAGTACCACCCTGCGGGTAAAGTGCCCGAGGAGCAGAGGCTGGGGGAGGAGCCCGGGGTAGAGGCAGGTCCTGGAGGGCGCCCTTCCACAGTCTACACCAAGGCTGCCTGGCCTAGGGCATCTCCCCAAAGAGGCCCCAGGGGAAGGGCTGTCCCCATCCTAGCTCCCAAAGGAGATCCCCAGCCAGGGCTTCCAGCTCTGCTCACCGTGGCGGAAGTCTGAGAGGAGGTGGTGTGCCTGGAAGCCGGCAGCAGGGGCACACACCTTCGAGTGGCCGTAGCAGAAGCAGCTGCTGCAGCCTGCCGGGTTGTGAGGCTGCAGGTTAAACGACCCAGGGCGGCATCTGTAAGAGAGTCAGGTGGGGTCACATATTTGAGCCAGGATGGGACAGGACTGGAATCCAGCTAGACTGTTGGGAATCCTGGTGAAATTTAAGAAAACATTTGTTTGTTTATTTGTTTGTTTCAGAAACACAAGAATTACAAAGACAGGACATACAGGCCGGTGCCACCTCAATGTCTCCACTGCTGATATACAGCCTCAAAGCCAAGAGATCAGCATGGCCTGACGTTAAGGGACTCCAGGCTGCACCAGGGTTTCCTTCTTTCTCACTAACATGATCCCCTGCTCCAGACCCTGCATTGTTGTCACCTCCGATTTGTAAACATCTCCCCCTCCTCTCCTGTGATCTTGACACTTTCCCTCCTCTCCTGTGACCTTGACACTTTCCCTCCTCTCCTGTGACCTTGACACTTTCCCTCCTCTCCTGTGACCTTGACACTTTCCCTCCTCTCCTGTGACCTTGACACTTTCCCTCCTCTCCTGTGACCTTGACACTTTCCCTCCTCTCCTGTGACCTTGACACTTTCCCTCCTCTCCTGTGATCTTGACACTTTCATTTCTAAGGGGGGTTTGTTTGTTTGTTTGAGACAGGTCTCACTGGGTAGCCCTGCTTGACCTGGAACTCAGAGATCTTCCTGCCTCTGTCTCCTGAGTACTGACACTAAAGGTCACACAGGCTTTGGGTTTTGTTGTTTGTTTGTTTGCTTGCTTTAAGAAAATTTGAATTAAAACTTTTTTACATGTATGAGTGTTTTGCTTGCACGAATATCTGTGTGCTACATGCAGGTCTGGTGCCTGTGGAGTCCGGAAGAAGGTGTTGTGTGTCCTGGAACTGGAGTTTCAGATGATTGTGAGCCACCATGTGGATCTCTGAAAGAAACAAGTGCTCTTAACTGCTGCGTCATCCTTCCAGCCCCTTGTCTTTTGAGATCGGGTCTTATTTTATACCCTGGCCTGGCCTTGTGCGCTTCACAATCCTCCTGTCTCAGCCTCCCAAGTGACACTGGCAGTGGTTGAACCATCATCTCCCAGCTGCCGTGCTGCCCACCAGGCTCCTTGTCTAAACAGCTGCTGCAGCTCAGTCATTGGAAGCCTGGCACTGGCCTGGCGTGGTGGCGCACACCCAGCAATCAGGAGGCAGAGGCAGGCAGATCTCTAAGAGGGTGGGGGCCAGCCTGGGCTGCACAATGAGAACCTGCCTCAAAAACAAAACACAAAACTCCCCCAAACAATTAAAACAGCAACAACAACAACAACCTTCCAGAGGAGAAAAGTATCAAACAACTTGCTTGCAACACACTTGAAAACCACCATTGTAATTAGTAACTGTTTCCGGGGCTGAATCTTGAGGCTGTGCAAGAGCCTGTTCCCGAGACCACCAGCGCTCATCGCTGCTGTTGGCTGCGCAGTCATTTCTGTGTGCCGCCTCTAGCCTGATTCCCCCTCCACCCTCCTCTACCGTTTAGAATTCTGAAGGAGGATTTGACCCGCTGTCGTTGTCTGTTTATTTATCTGATCATGTACTGGCATTACGGATATCTGCCCCATTCTTAGGGTTGTAACGCGATTGCATCCTTATTAATATTGCTATTCAAATAGTTCCAGCTCTGAGATTTCCTGTGGATTGTCTCCTTTATCCTTTTCACATAGGGCGGGGATGACTTTTGTCTTAGCTCAGTTGTTAGGGGCTTCTTGGAGCAAGGTATTGAGAAGGATCTCAGGTTAAGATTGTAGTGTTCCATTACTAATGTCTGCCACTGGTGTGAGATGGGGGCTGTGGCAGCTCTCCATTAGTGATGTCTGCCACTGGTGTGAGATGGGGCTGTGACAGCTCTCCATTAGTGATGTCTGCCACTGGTGTGAGATGGGGGCTGTGACAGCTCTCCATTAGTGATGTCTGCCACTGGTGTGAGATGGGGCTGTGACAGCTCTCCATTAGTAATGTCTGCCACTGGTGTAAGATGGGGCTGTGACAGCTCTCCATCAGTGGCATCTACCCTGGATATGAGGCAGAGGAACTGAAAGATGACACCAGGTATTTGCTGCCTGGATTAGGCATGCTCTTCCTATGTCTTCGGAGTTTTCTTTCTAGGAATCTGATCTTGAAGAGATGACGACGTATTTCCTCAGCTAATAAACCCTCAGTGTTGTTGAATCACAATACAAGCAGTGCCCACGGGGCCTTTGGCTGCCTTCCTGAGTAGCAGGCCCTGGGGTTTCAGAAAGAACACGGGATGGCAGGCTTGCCCAGCTCTGAGGACTGTGCACTGCCTCTCCCTTTACTATGCAGCCTGGGTACCTCATCAGAGACCAGTGCATCAGAGGCCAGCGCATCAGAGGCCAGCGCACGCACCTGTCACATAGGCTGCCTTCTACATTCTCTTTGCAGGGGCAGTTCCCACTGTGGGGGTCACAGGTGTCCAAGCTGCCAGCAACATTGCAGGTACAGGGTCTGCCGAAGAAACCGAGAAGACACACATCTGTTGAGCAGCTCCATCGTAGACCATCCCATCCTCAGAAGAATTCTTTATGCCTTCCCTGCTCCTGAGGGATAGGACTATTCAAGAGACTGTACTTGGTGTCACTGTTCCCACTTTACTAGGAACTACCCATGTGAAGATATCCCTGCCCCCAATACCCACCCTTTCCACTGGTGCATCCATCCATCCACCTATCTATCTATCCACCCATCCATCCATCCAACCATCCACCCATCCATCCATCCATCCATTCACCCACCCATCCATCCATCCACCCACCCATCCATCCATCCACCCATCCACCCATCCATCCACCCATCCATCCACCCATCCATCCACCCACCCATTCATCCACCCATCCACCCATCCATCCATCCACCCACCCATCCATCCACCCATCCATCCATCCACCCATCCATCCACCCATCCACCCACCCATCCATCCATCCACCCATCCACCCATCCATCCATCCTTCCACCCATCCATCTATCCATCCATCCACCCATCCACCCATCCATCCATCCACCCATCCACCCATCCATCCATCCACCCATCCACCCACCCATCCATCCATCCACCCATCCATCCAGCCATCCAGCCATCCACCCATCCATCCATTCACCCATCCATCCATCCATCCATCCATCCATCCATCTACCCACCCATCCACCCACCTATCCATCCACCCATCCACCCATCCATCCAACCATTCACCCACCCACCCACCCACCCATCCATCCATCCACCCATCCATCCATCCATCCACCCTCCCATCCATCCATCCACCCATCCATCCACCCATCCATCCATCCATCCATCCATCCATCTACCCACCCATCCACCCACCTATCCATCCACCCATCCATCCACCCATCCATCCATCCACCCACCCACCTATCCATCCATCCACCCATCCACCCATCCATCCACCCATCCATCCATCCACCCACCCACCTATCCATCCATCCACCCATCCACCCATCCACCCATCCACCCATCCATCCATCCATCCACCCAACCACCCATCCATCTACCCACCCATCCATCCATCCGCCCATCCACCCATCCATCCATCCACCCATCCATCCATCCACCCACCCATCCATCATCCTCTGCTCATGTTATCGCTCACCATCTGCCCACTCTCACCTATCTATTCACACCTCCATTTGTCCATCCATCACCGATGCCCTCACTTAGCATCCACCCACTCGCCCCTCCATTAGAGCATCCATCCGTCCATCTGTCTCCCTGTTTGCTCATCCTTCTATCCCTTAGCTTCCCATCCACCCATTCTCCCACGCACCTATCCACCCACCTCCACCCATCCAACCAGCCTTCTGTCCATCGATTTCTCACCTCCATTCATCCCTGCATCCACTTACCCACCCACCACACATCACCTGCTGAGACATGGTTCCTGTTCTCATGGACCTCGGGATCCAGTGAGAGCAGACGTACAGTGGCCCCTGCCCTTCGGTTGTGGAGGAGGCGGACAGTGCGAGGCGGCACTAAGGGAGTGCATGTGTCCAGCCTTGGAGAAGGGGAGGGAGTGGGGGCGCGGGGAGCTTCTTGAGGGGGCAATGCCTTAGCTGAGGACACAGGCGGAGGAGGCAGGGCCGGGCAAGGATCGTGCTCTAGGAAATGAACGGCATGTGCAAAGGTCCCAAGCCCAAGACTGGGAAGCAGCCAGGGTCAGGCCCAGGACTTTGGTTTGTTGTTGTGCTGGGATGGAATTCAGAGCCTTCTGCACACTAGGCAGGCACTTACTCCACCACCGAGCCCTGGGCTGACTTGACTGGGCATTTCTGTGCCACCATATCTACCCAAGAAGCCTCACCTGCCTTTCAAATGTATGGACACTGTTGCTGTTTACCGGAGCCAAGTTCATTTATTTTCCTGCATATGTCCATGTGTACATGGGAATGTGTGCATGTACGTATGCATGGAGGTCGTAGATTGAAGTCAGCTTTCTTGCATTCCACCTTACATTTGAGACAGGGTCTCTCACTGAACCTGGAGCTCACCGATTGGGCAAGACTGGCTGGCAACCTCCAGCGATCCAGTCACCTTTGCCTGCCTTCCAGCCTTCAGCGCTGGGCTTACAGATAGATGCAATGCTGCACCTAGCTTTTGTGGTTTTTACAGGGGGGCTGGGCATCCAAACTCACATCCTCACATTTTACCAACTGAGCCTCTCCTCAGCCCTGACAAGAGCATTGAAAGTGCTTCCAGGGGCTAGTAGACGCTTGTCTAGCATACATGAAGCCCCGAGTTCGCTCCCCAGGACCACATAAAACTGGCCACGGTGGTGCACATTTCTAACTCCAGCAGGAGGTCAGCTACGATCTGTAAGACTACCCCCACAAAATGCCTCGTAATTTGCAGCATTGGTCACCGTGGATTCCATTGTGAATACCAGTAAACGTGTCTGGCCCCTCTCCTAAGCTCCAGCCTGTGGCAGATTGCTGGTCTCTCTCCTCACGACCGGGTACCACACACTCCAAACACGTATATAATGCCTGGCTGCCTGCCCAGCTTCCACCTGGCCCTCTGCCAGGAGGACTAGCCTCTATCCCTCCCTCCTCCTCAGTCTCAGACTTGGGTTCTGGAATCTGCCTGTTTCCTCCCTCTCTCTTCAGGGCCAACCTTACTCCTGCCCCCCCTGCACCAGGCCCTCTTCTCCTAGAGCTGAGCCTCACCTGACCCTTGCCTCGGCCTTGGTGGTACTCGCCCGCTTGGAGTGTTTCTGTGTCCCTCACTCATCAGGCCTCAGGTTCATCCTGGGACTCTGTCCCTTTCACAGCAAGTGGGCCTCCAAGGTCTCCACCCCAACCCCCAGCGGGCAGGTTTGTTCTTCTGTACCACATCCTTACCTGCAGCCGCCCTCACCGAGGGAGTGGAACCCAGGCCTGCAGAGGTCACACTTCCAACCCGTCACTGAGGGCTTGCAGGTGCAGGCGCCTGAGTGGTCGCACTGGAGGCTCAGGGAGCCTGGGGAGGAGGAGCACAGGGCAGTGGAGGTGGGGGAGGGAGGGGAGGGAGGGGGAGGGAAGGGTGGAGCTAGGCTGCTCACCTGCTGGGTGGCAGTCACAGGGCTGGCATGGTGTCATCGCGGCCCATCTGTAATAGTTCCTCTCACAGTGCTCACAGTGTGGCCCGGCTGTGTGGTCACGGCAGTGATGACAGTGCCCGCCGTGGCCCGTGCTCCGGAAGAGCCCCCGGTCGAATGTGCACTCCTCGGAGTGCCCGCTACAGTTGCAGGCTGTGAGAGATGAGGGTCGCCTGTGTGAGCGGCTGGCTCTGCTGGGGGAGGGGCTCTCCTCCTGGGGGGAGGGGCTCTCCTCCTGGGGGAGGGGCTCTGCTCTCTGGAGCAGGCATCTCAAAGACAGGTGTGCTTGGTTAATCTTGTCAACCTGACAGGACTGAGAATCACCGAGGACACAAACTTCTCAGAAGTTTCTGCATTAGGCTGCGGTGGCAAGATCCACCTTAAGTACCGGTGCTGGGGTCCTGGACTGAGAAAGGAGTTTGGGAACAAACTGATGACATCATTAAGCTCTCTGCTTCCTGGCTGCAGATTCGGTGTGACCAGCTGCCTCACACGCCTGCCACCATCCTGAGGGGACCATAACTTCAAGCCAAACAAACCTTCCTTTCCTTATACTACTGTGCCAGCAGGCACTTGGGAAAACTGACTGACACGAAGGGGTGGCTTTCAGGCCCGGCACGACCAAGTACACAGAGCCCAGGTATCTGCGATCCCCAAACAGGGTGCCCCATAAGATCAAGTGCTCCACAGCCGTGTTTTCCTGGAGGGAGTCAGAAAGGTGTTGGGATGGGGAAGATGGTGGAACAGGAAATGCGTCCTAGCCAGGAGGGGGACGTCTGGACCAGAGAAGCCTTGTCTGTGTGTGCCAAGAGGCTGGCTGTGGCAACATGCGTGTGGTGGGCAGGGGAGGGGGTACTGCGAAGTGAGTGGAATGTGAGGCGGAGGCTGGGAGCCCGGAGCTTCAGGGCGGGGTACACATGTATTTGCACTCTTTGGAGACCCTTCACTGCAGGTGGAGGAGGCCAGAGACCATGGAGAGTGACAACGACAGCATCCAGAGGAGAGGGGGCAGGGCTGCACAGAGACAAGAGGGATTATAGAGTTGTGAAAGGCAAAGAATTTGCCTGGGCTAGGAGTCAGAGGTGAAGGGTCAGGCATGAAACCACACCTTCCAGGCTGGTGACTGTGAAGACAGAAACTCAGTCATGGCAGGGTGCGGTCTGGTCTTCAGCACCCCACCAAGTACAGACAGGCACAGACTTGGCCGGAGAAGGGAGCCTGGGGGAAGCAGGCCAGCAAGTCAAGAGGACTGCGCTAGCCCCCAGGGGCAGCTACTGCAGACAGGAAGAAGCTGTCTGTCCTAAGGAAAAAGCTGACTCCTCCCCACCCGAGCCCTGGCAGGCCAAGGCCAGCTAAGATGCTATGTGACTTCTGCGCTGGCTCCAGGCACTGCACGCATGGAGCCCGAGACAGGACTGTGAAGGGCCGGCCAAGGGAAGTGGGACGCTGGGGTGGCCGGTACACCCACTGCGAAGGCTCCTCCCTCCCCACTGTCCTGGTAGAAAGCTCCAGAGCTCTTCCTCCCTTCACCAGTGTGTCTTTGAGGTTAGGCAGGCAGAGCCACACCACACACAGCTGGGACATCAAAGGACTCCGGGGGACTGGAGGAACTGTGGGAAAGGCTGGGGTGGGTGGGTCAGAACCCAGTGGGTGGGGTGGGGGGGGGCTGGATTTCATTAGCTGCTGGGGTTGGAACAGTTAAAACAAAGGGTTAAGTCTACTTTGGGGACCTTCCTGCCCTCCTACCGCTCTGGGTGGACTTGTCCTGGAGGGACTGCTTGTGAGGGAGGATTGACGTTCAAGCACTTCCATCTCCCCCTCCACGGCCGAGGGCCCCACACTGCATGCCGGGCCCACCCAGGAGCAGACCCCACTGTGAGGTTTGGGGGACTGTTTCCCAGCAAGCATCACTAGCCCGCTGCCTGAGGGACACTCACGCAGACACTCGTTGGCGTCTTCTGCAGTGCCGCGGGCCCACGGACGGTCCTGGAAGAAGGGCAGACAACGCTCGCAGTCCACTCCCGTGGTGTTGTGCTGGCAGTGGCAAGCCAGCTGACCAGCCTCATTAGGGCCGCACTCACTGGCGTGACCATTGCACTTGCACCTGAGGGAAGCACCGGGAGAGGGGGCCTGGAGACAGCTGCCGCGGACACTGGGAGAAGCCAGGGATTCACTGCCGGGCATCCCTTGGTTGCAGCCAAGTGTGGGCAGCCCTGAACCTCACTCCGCACCCCACCCGGCGGTTGCCATAAAGAGAGCACTGGGGTTCCCAGATGCTTGATGGAATGAACCCTGCTGTCCCTCCCAGTGTGCTTCCTATCACTGTGATAAACACCATGAGCAAAAGCAACTCGGGGAGGAGAGGATTTATTTCATCTCGCACATCCCTACTACAGTCTACTATGAAGGGAAGCTGGGGGGGGCGGGGGGAGAGCCTAGAGGCAGTAACGGAAGCAAAAGCCACGAGGGTGCTGCTTACAGACTCGCTCCCCATTGCTTGTCCCGCCTGCTTTCTTATAGCACCCAGGACCACCTGTCCAGGGGATGGCACCACCCGCAGTGGGCTGGGCTCTCCCACATCAATTATTAACCAAGGAAATGTCTCGGAGACTTGCCTATAGGACAGTCTGATAGAGATACTTTCTCAATTGAGTTTCCTCTTCCTAAACGACTCTAACCTGCGTTGTGTTGACAAAAACACTAACTTGTCAGCACACTGTCTTCACCAGCCTCCTGCTGTCTCCTCTGAGTAGACCGAGAAACTGAGGTAAGTGACTGCCACAGAATGTCTCTGCCTAGGTAGAGTCTCAACTCAGGGGTATTGGGACCCAGGGAAAAGCCAATTCAGTCTCCTGGTGGGGGTGGACAAGTGGTCACAGGGTCAGTTCTTAGTTATCTCAGGTAATTCTGCAATTTTATTTAAAAGGGCAAGAAAGAAGTGCCCTGTTGAGGGCCAGCTCCCAAGAAGACCCCAGAGTCTGAGCCTTGGTAGGCAGCCCTGGACCTATGATCCCATGACACCCACAAGGTCAAGAGATGGGAGAACCCAGCGAGAACCAGGCGGTGTTTCGCAGGGTGGGCAGTGTGGAGTGCTGGGTATTGACTGACCCCCAGACAAAGCAAATTGCTGCAGACTTTGCTGGCGTCTTTGGATGTGAGGACTCTACACCCCAGCGTATAGCTGATGAAGCAGGCTCAGGACACAACGTGGCAGACCCAAGGGACAGAGCTGAAAGCCAGAGCCCATCCCGGCTCCCCAAAGTCAAGGCCCACCCTCCCTCTGTCCTCAGAGGGCAGTGACGGGTGACTGGCCACTTCCAGGGTCTTCAGTGCCATCTCTGATTTGGGGACACAAGGGTATGGTACTGTTTGTTCATGGGTTCAGGGTAGGCAGCAACACCCACTGCTGCCGGGAGGGTTGAGTCCAACGGTCTTAGAAAATGGGGCTCATGGAACTCATGAGGGACTTCTCCATCCCTGAGAAGGTGCCGCGAGCGCCCCACTCTCCCTTCTGACCCAAGGAAAGGTGCTGTTCCTTCCCGAAGGCAGCCTTCACAGCCAGCTGTGGAGCGGAGGGTGGTCTGGGTCCCACAGCTGGGACACAGATGTGCTCTGGCCTGCAGGCCCTGACAACAGGCATACATAGCAGATGGAGGTCATGACCATCTTTGGAGTTCTGCTGGGAGCATTGACCCGACTTGCAAGTCTGGGCAGGGGGGGGGTCATCTGGAGTTCCTCACCCGTGTCACCTCAAAGTGCCAGCTATTGGGCACAGGGTCTTCCCTGCCGTCCCCATCTTTAACACTGCGAGCCCAGCATCTGGGGGCCACCCTCGCCATCGCCCACACCCACAGTCCATCATTCACCCTTTGAGCTCCTCTCTCGTCTTAGCTAACCGTTAGCCCAGGACCCTTGCCCCCAGCAGTGCCTGCATGGTCCCAGCTCCCTGCCTCCTTCCTCTCCTCGCCCTTTCCCACACTGCTGTACCAATGAGCGAGCGGTGGCTCATTGTCAACCTGACAGGACCCAGAATCGCCTCAGGAGACAAACCTGTGGGCATGCCCTGGGGGAGTTTCTAGAAGAGGGTGAACGGAGTAAGGACATCCAGCCTGAATGTGGGCAGCAGTGTGCCTGGGCTGGGGTCCCGGAGACGATCAAAGGAGAAGCTGAGCCCGCTGAGCCAGCCTTCATCTCCCTGCTCTCACGCTGTCCCGTCATGACGGACGGACGGGACCTCAGGTTATACTTTAGTGAGCCAAAATAAACCTTCCCTTCCTTGAGATGCCTTTGTCAAGTATCTTGTCACAGCGGTGGGGAAATCAATTAATGACCGGGGGCCGAGTGTTTTGACAGTCTGGGGCTCCCCAGTGACAGAGGGACTGGGGACTGACTCCGCCCATGGCTCTGCCCTCACTCCAGCCTCACAGCCTTCTCCTCCCTCAAGCCCAGCTTTCCAAGTCATAGAGGCTTCTGTGTAGCCTGCCCCGTGTCTCCCCATCATTTGTTCTGCAGAGCTGAGTCTGAGGCCACCCTGGGCTTTTATTCTGGGGTACGCTGATGTGTTTATTGGGAGCCACTGGATTCGTGTCCTCTACACCACAGGCCTGGGCTAGGAACTTACTGTCTCTCCTCATTTCCTGGGGAGGGCTACATGATGGGGGCATGTTGGGGGCGGTCTGCAGAGGCAGAGAGGAGCCAGCAGGCAGGGGGCAGGGTCCTGCTCATTCCTTCCCATTGGATCACCCCAGGCACCTCACCAGCTCTGTGGCTCTCTGAGGTAGGGCCCTGCTCCCTCGGCCTCCCCCGGCCCTGTTTGTAGCCTACCTGCCGCCCACAGAGAAGTCAGACACAGCATAGTAGTAAGACTGGAGCACCCTGGGGTCCTTGAAGATGTCGTCCCCAAATGTGTTTAGCCGATCCAGAGAGATCAGGAGCTCGGTGCTGGTGACCCACTCCTGGGGAAGGGCACAGGGACATAATCAGCAAATGATCCTGGCCTGCTCCACTGGGAAACCCTACCCCTGGTCCCCAGAAAGTGGGTCCTGGGGCACAGGGACAGGCCTGGTTGACACAGATCCTGAGAAGAGGCCAGGAATCAGGAGAACTGGGTCAGTCTTGGGGCTGGGCAGCTTGCTGACTGTACAACTCTGGTGACAAGCCCCAATGCCTTGGTGCCTCTGTTTCCCCATCTGTAAAATGCAGCCAGGTTAGTGGCCTCTTGAAGGTGTGAGGAGGAGGATGGCAATGTTAACCACTGGGTATAGGGCCTGTCATCAGCACAGAAGTGTGTGTGTGTGAGTGTGTGTGTGTGTGTGTGTGTGGACAGTGGCTGAGGTAGCCCATCTGAGACCCTGGTTTGCAGGTTGCCTGTCTTCTCTCTCTGCTCCGATTTCTCCCCGTAGCAACTCGCATGCAGACTGACACCCCAGAACACGAGTCGCTCAAGCCCAAGCCAGAGCCCCTGGGCTCTGCCTGGCACATAGCAGACACTTGATAAATACTTGCTGATCACGGGCTGGATGAGCAGCTTCCACGGGGAAGCGCGTGGTGAGGAAGTGGGGGGATGCACGTGGAGAGTGACATTTCCATCCGCCTGCTGTTATAATCAGAGGCGGCTCCGGCTGAATATTAATCAACATTTTAATTCAGCCCAGGAGCCCCTGGCTTAGCAGTCAGGCTGTCAGGATGGAAAATGAGCTCCTGGCACACTTGCTCCTCACCCCAGCAGGACTCAGTCCTGAGAACCCTGTACAGCATTGAGACCGCGGGTCCCTGCCACTCTCGGAGTCACCCAGGGCTGGGATTCGCAAAGGTCACTGTGCTTTCAGGGGTCTGCTGAAGGCAGGTCTGACTGTGAGGTCGGGGTGCGGCCTCCCTCCCTCCTCCCCCGCAACCCTTTCTATTCTTCTCTTGACAGGGTTGCATTCATCCCAAACGGGCCTCACATGCAGCCCAAGATGGCCAGAATTCCCAATCCTTCTGTCTCCACTTGCCAAGAGCTAGGTGCACATGTGTGCACCACCACACCCAGACTGTGGGGTGCTGGGGATGGAACCCAGGACTTCCTTCATGCCGAGCAAGCATTAACTGTGCAGATTGGAAACCCTGCATTTCTTCCTGTCTGTGGCTCTGGGTCAAAATTAGGGCCCTGTGCATGCTGGGCAAGCATGGCGTCTCCAAGCTACACTATAACCTGGGGCTCTGGGTTCTCAGAAAGGCCCCCTGGAGATGCTGAGGCCTCCAAGGACGAGGGAGTCAAGGCCTGGGTGGGGACACAAAATGATTCACCCCACCAGTGGAAGTCTAGTGACTATGCCACCAAGCAGAACAAATTATCCCTTAGGCAACCTCGCACCCAGGCACAGCTGAGAGAAACAGGCAGGCTGCAGGGCATCTGCGACTCAGGAGCTTCCCTGCTTCAGCCTGTTAGGTGCTGAGATCCCAAGAGTATGGGCAACACTGGCTCTCTTCTATTAAAGTAAAATTAAAGAAGAACATAGCTGGGCAGTGGTGGGGCGCACCTTTAATCCCAACAGAGGCAGGCAGATTTCTGAATTCAAGGCCAGCCTGGTCTACAGAATGAGCTCCAGTACAATCAGGGCTACACAGACAGGGCTACACAGTCTCAAAAAACAAAACAAAACAAATAAATAAATACAATAAAAAGCAAAAATAAAAACCAGGTACCGGCAAAAGATGACAGGATTCTAGGGTTTAAGGTCTGACAACCAGAGGTCCCTAGGGGCCTCTCCGGTTCTAGCTCTTCTGACTTGCCTACTGTCCCCCCCATCCCAGGCTTGCCCCATCCCCCCCCCCCCCCCCCCGTGGTCCCCTAGGCCCTGTTGTCCTCTGACCTGCAGCACAGGGCTCTCCTCAAAGTTGTAGGCACTGGGACGACCCTCCAGGGTGGAGAAGGCGACGTTGCCCCCGTTCAAGGGGGGAGATGTCGCTGAACTCAGAGGTGCAGAAGGCCACCCTCTCGTCCTCGCCAGGCCGCAGGTACTGGCCCTCAGGACGGCCGTAGGTCTTCCAGCAGGAGGCACTGTAGTACTGGTAGGGCTCCCAGGGTCCACCGGTGCGCGTGCGCTTGTAGATGGCAAAGCTCTCGGGGCGGCTGGTACGGAACTTCACCCTCACATAGGTGATCTCATAGGCCTTCCCTGCAGCCAGGCAGACGCAGACCGTCACATAGAAGGGAGCAGGTGCGCGGTGCTGGGACAGGGTGTGTGTGTGTGGCGGGGAGCAGGATGGCTGCCTGGCAGAAACTCCCTGGAGCTGTGGGTGGGAGTGCCACCCTGGATCGCTGATGCTCATCAGTGGGACGTGGGGAGGGCAGCACCAGCAGGCTTCCCTGGTACTTGTTCATCTTTTATGTAGCTCAGCTCACCCCTTTGCATGGGAATCTGAGCCACTATACCCTGACTGGCAGTGTCTGGCTTTGCTCAAGAAATAAATAAATAGCCAGGCGGTGGTGGCTCACACCTTTAATCCCAGCACTCAGGAGGCAGAGGCAGGCGGGTCTCTGTGAGTTGGAGGCCAGCCTGGTCTACAGAGTGAGTTCCAGGAC